ACCATGATAGTATTTATATGCTCTTTAATATGGTGGTAGAAATGTCCGATAAGAATTTAATAAAGTGTAACTTATAGCGCCTCGAAAGTCAAGGAAGAAAAAAGTCTTTTTTTGCCCCCCCCCCTGTATACTCATTTCCGTGGATCCTGATTCTTGCCATGTATGAGATGTATGAATTCACAGCTGCCCTAGCGCAACTCTCCGCCTCAAAGTGCACGGGAACGGGGTGGAGGGCAGTGACACCCGAGTGTCGTCTCCATAATACCCCCCGCGCTGGCCGCTTGGATAGCCGCACGTCATGGGATCGCAGGGAAGTCAAGAGGACCTGACCACATTCAAACGTTTTAATTATCTGCGCCCTATCATTTCTGGTTGGTGGGTGTGTGTCAGGACTCACCGCCGCGCCCGAAACTAGGTCGCCGCGCTGGGAAGTGGGTCACCGCGCGCGGCGATTACATGCTTTAACATGTTTGCATACCTGTTTGGACATGTTCTTGGCAGATGGAAGATGAGGAAAAGAAAGAACGCTCAAGCAAATGGCGATAGGGTCATATTGATCGGAAGTTGGCAAAATGCCAGGTCAGGACTCACCGCCGCGCCACGCGAACAGGTCGCCGCGCGCGGTGACCTAGTTTCGAGCGCGGCGGTGACTCCTGGCCGTCTCCCTGGTAGTTCTCTGTGGTTGGTTCCGTGCTGCTGAACATTGGTATTGACGCAAGCGCCGCTTCTCGAGCATAGCACGGGGGCGTATGGAATGGCAGGAGCATTAGTTTTCCCCAGCACAGTTTCTGTGCTAACCATGCGGCGCTGTTTATCGACGGGGGGGGCATTTTGTATTATAATTGCTTCCCTGGTTCCGGTTTACAAATCTCACTCTGGTAAAACTTGTGAACGCTTGTGAAGCTGGAGCAAGATCGTCTAGCCACCATCCTAAAACGTGTCAACTCGAAAAAAGGGTACCTAGATGGGTTGGCAAATCTATGAAAAGCAGAATGCCCCCCGTCGATAAGCAGCGCCTAACCATGCGAGTGCTCTACCCCTTTTTTCAACCGGGTCTCAGGATCTCTGACGAGTCTTCCCCCTTCCTTGTTTTTCTTCCTTCCTTCTCTCTCCCTCCTATTTTCCTTCCTATGAACGCTCGAACAGAGACGCAATGAGAAAACCCTCTAGACCCTCACAGCGAGAGCAATCCGACTGACATTTGCCTTGTAACTCTCCAGCTCACACTTGAAAAGGACCGTGAAGGACCGTCTTATAAAGTGAATGTACAGATTTTCTTTAAACAGCTGTTATCAAAGAAAATCTGTGAGCATGCAGCTGTTATCATGAGTGTGAGGAATTTAATGACCAGTTGCTGAGTTGTTCTACATATTCATTGGATAAGAACAACAAGTTTCAACAACCAACAACGACACGCAACGGTACACATTTGGTGTTTATTGAAAGAATCTGCTGGGGCAGCAGAGAAAGAGATAGTCAAAATGAATGAGGTCTTTACGGTTCCTGTACACATATTGTATAAATAGGAATGCATCACATCGTCATCCTGGATGATGTAATTACAATACAAAGTAGAAAGTAGACTAAATGCCAACAAAAACGGTAATTGTCATAACAACAGACACCAAAATTAACGCCATGGTGGACGCTGCCCACCCGGGCCGGAGTATCCGCCACCTCGTCCTCTAGGGAGATCTCCCCTGTATCCTCCTCGAGGCGCTTGGTTACCATACCCCGAATTAGAATAACCCCTTGCTTGTGCGCCACCGTAACCTCCGCCGTAACCACCACTGGAAGGACCGCGATCTTGGCCCCCGTACGAATTTTGACGATATCCTCCACTGGCGTACGCTCCATTCTGGCCTGCACCGTAACCACCGCGATTGAAGCCACCACCTGCAAATTCCAAAGGCTAGTTCATCAGGACTGGTAATGAGAATAACTAGGCACTACATACCTTGATAGCCTCCTCTTCCGCCATCGTATCCTCTTCCTGGACCGCCGCCATTGTTACGATCGCCTTCTGAGAAAAAAAACCTACTAGCATTTAAACACCTAACATCCCTCCACTTCGAATTCTATTCCACTAGAGTACTGAGTCCGCTACCCAAGAGTTGACGCTCGCCAAAGACGTTTGGTTGAGCTGGATCATTGAAGTTTTAGCAACATTTTTCATTGTAAAAAGACGCAGAGATGGTTTGAAGAGACTAAAGATCAGTCCGGATGTAGCGTCGAAGTATTATACGAGTTGTGGATACTGTGATTTCGAGTGGACACAGACTCCGCCAGGATTTCTTTCTATACTAATATCAACGACACTGATCATTAGCCCATATTAAGCCGTTTTTCACATAATTTTAGCATAGTTTTATTGTTCTACATACCCTATCAAATGCCCGTCTAAAAACCATAGCTCTACTGATAGGATTACTATCTCACCATAGCTGCGATTGTCAGATCTGGCGTTGTGCTGAATGAAGCGATGGGCAGAATTATCAAGGCTTGCTCGACCTGGTACGTCTCTGGTGAACCCTATTTGTGGACGATAATCTGAGCCAGTCTGGAAGCAAGTCAGTTAAGGACAAAGCACAACTCAAATTCATTCAGCAGTGAAAGGGTTCGCAAGTGCATGGGAAGAAAAAACAAAAAAAGAATAAAAATGAGCGAATTCACTGAAATAGGGCCCTTTTAGGATCGCACTGAGTTGCGACGAACGCGACTAAAGAGGAATCGCAAGCAGGGTAACGCGAGCATTCCCGGGTACTAAGCGGCAATTGACTCTTCCAACCTTTTACTTCAACTGGATAAGAGATAACTACTACTACTACTACACCACCACCACGACGAAGTCGCAACTACGAAGTAACGCTATACCTCTCAAAACTCTTGTCCCACACCTTAACGATATGTACCACGTTTCTAGTTGAACCCTGGGAGTGACTAGGATTCTGGAGCTTTGCTTCGTTCCTTCTGCAGTCATGCTAGGACTCAAGGTCACCGACTAAACGATGAAAAATCGAGATAAAATCCACAGAGGGTAACGCATAACGTCAGGGATGCGGGCGCACCAATTCAACATACTCCAGCTGACCATTTTTTAACTTTCACAAGGCGCTCGAAGAAATGCGTCCTTAGAAAACCGAACTTAAAACGCTCAAACTTACCCTGCCGTAATCTCGGAGTGTACGAGGTATTTCTTTCGCATTCTCCAATCGCCTTGCAGGAAAAACGAATC